TGCTGGCAGCAAAGGTGCAGGAATCTCTGGCAAAGTCCAGCCAGGTGGCCATTGAGGTTTTGTCAGCCATGCCTACAGTCCGGAGCTTTGCCAATGAGGAGGGTGAAGCCCAGAAGTTCAGGCAGAAACAGCAGGAAATGAATGTACTCAACCAGAAGGAGGCCGTGGCCTATGCAGTCGACCTCTGGATTTCCAGTGTGAGCACCTGGAGATGAATGCCCATTCCCTTGTCCCTGAGATGCCTTGGCTCCATCCCCTTCCCCTTGACCCTGCTCTACACTCCTCCTCCCCTGGACAATGCTTGGTTCAGTGTTCTCATCCTCTCAATCTGAGGCTCAGTCACCCTACTCAGAGCTCCCTCTTTTTAGGCTAGATGGCTTCCTTTCACTGCGGTACACAAAACCTACCTAATCCTCCTTTTAGGAAGATGCCATGTCTTCCAGTCCCAGGACCTTCCTTCACTTCTCAGGGCATGTGTAGTGAGCCTGCCTCATGCTGGGACTGTGTGGGTGTGCTAGTGAGAGCCATGAGAGTGCAGAAACCAAGTATAGGGGGCAGGACATCTATGATGTACTTGAAAGAGAACTTGACCAGCAATCACAAGTTCCTGGCTTGGTGATGCCATTTACTAGCTCTGTGACCATGGCCTAGTAACACACCTTCTCTGACATGGTTTCCTCATTTTGAAAAATGGGAGTGATATAACCTTGTTTGTAGGGCTGTTGATATGAATGTTAGATTACTTTACATTCATGAAAGCCTTTTGTGAAGAGCAAAATGCTCCCCAGTAAGGTGATAATGGTGATGTGATGTGATGACCTCCGCATGTGTCATTGAGTAAGACTCCATGGGTCTCGTGGTTCATTCTTTCTACTTATTGAGCCTCCTGCTGTTACAGGGGGAAAGGGACTTTATATCTCCTCAGTGCTAAGGATTCTGGTGCTCTGCACCCTGTTAGATTTCTACCACGATTCCTTTTCTCTGTGGTCTCTCCACAGATCTCGGGGATGCTGCTGAAGGTGGGAATCCTGTACGCCGGCGGGAAGCTGGTGACAAGTGGGGCTGTGAGCAGTGGGAACCTTGTCATGTTTGTTCTCTACCAGATCCAGTTCACCACAGCTGTTCAGGTGAGTTCCTGCCAGTTTCACTCCCCCTTCCCCCATCCTGTCACCATCCCTGTCATTTTCCTTCCATTCTTTACCTTTCTCACATCACATGACCTGGAAAGCAGATTAGGCGCCCCTCCCCTACTCACTATCTATACCTCCCTTCCAGGTACTGCTCTCCACCTACCCCAGGGTGCAGAAGGCTGTGGGCTCCTCAGAGAAAATATTTGAGTACCTGGATCGGATCCCTTGCTGCCCAGCCAGTGGTGTGTTGACTCCCTTCGGACTGGAGGGCCTTGTTCAGTTCCAAGATGTCTCCTTTCGCCTACCCCAACCCGTCCAGATGCCCAGTGCTGCAGGTGCATCTCCCAGCCCACCACGTGCTCCCCACTCTTCCACCCTAACTTTCTCCCTCATTCAGCCTGCTTAACCCCAGTCACAGGCAGATCCTTCCTGACCCTGCAAAGGCAAGATGCGCATCATCTGCCCCGAACTGAAGAACCAGTTTGGGTTTCCAAGGAGAGTGGGCCAGGGGGCTCTCACGTCCGAAGGAACTGCTAAAGGGAGATCTGTGCCCCCAGCCTCCCATCTTTCCTCTTTTCCCCTTTGTGATTTTGAATGTGATTTTCTTTTTTGTTTTCTCCTGGCGTGTGATATCAAGTGTGTGGCATAGTGGTGCTGAGTCTTTGTCCTGTCTTTGCCTCATCTTCCAGCTCTCCTCCTCTGGGAGTTATATCCCTAGGGACAGAAGTCTGTGCAGTGGGAGGGTAGGGTGACTATATTTCCCCGTTTTCCTAATTTCTTCCCTGAAATAAGACTTGACAGTAACAAGACAGCGACAGTCTCAAGGTTAGGGCCCCGGCGGCCTCTTATTGTGTGATTGATTCTCTGGCCTCCAGGGGCTGACGTTCACCCTGCGTCCGGGTGAGGTGACGGCACTGGTGGGGCCCAACGGCTCTGGGAAGAGCACCGTGGCGGCCTTGCTGCAGAACCTGTACCAGCCCACGGCGGGGACGCTGCTGCTGGACGGGGAGCCCCTCCCCCAGTATGAACACTGCTACCTGCACAGACAGGTGAGCAAGAAGGTGGTCTGGGGAGGTGGGGAGCACCAGGTAAGAATATTCTCACTGAGTGTCACTGAGCTTTCAGAAAGAAGGGTCAGGGGATGATGGGAGACCCTGTGTGGAGATGGGGGCGTGGTCAGGAGAGAGGGCATGTAATTTTGCAGTATGATATCAGTGCAGAATTTGAGTCTTTAATATCTATAGGACGATTCCACTATTCCTTGTTCCATGACTCTTCCCGGTATTTTGTCCCAGGTGGCCGCAGTGGGACAAGAGCCACAGTTATTTGGAAGAAGTTTCCGAGAAAATATTGCCTATGGCCTGACCCAGAAGCCAACCCTAGAGGAGGTCACAGCTGTGGCAGTGGCGTCCGGAGCCCACAGCTTCATCTCTGAACTCCCTCAGGGTTACGACACAGGTGTTGTATCCACGAGTGTCACCCCAGAAACCCCAATAGTCTTGCCTTTATTCATGAGTTCTTCCTGCCCCATCGATAGCAGTTTGAGGTTTCAAGATCTGGTTCCTATGGCTCCTTCATCCTCACATCCTCAGAGCTCCTTCACCTTCCCAGAACCGTCCCTGTCCAGCTGTGCCCATTATTCCTTGCTCCATGACTCTGTCATGTGTGTGTGCATGTGTGTGCACATGGGTCCACATGTGGTTATCCAGCTGTCACCTTGGCTCTTGTCTCTGCAGAGGTAGGCGAGGCTGGGGGCCAGCTATCAGGGGGTCAGCGGCAGGCAGTGGCCTTGGCTCGAGCACTGATCCGGAAACCACGTGTACTCATCCTGGACGATGCTACCAGCGCCCTGGATGCAAACAGCCAATTACGGGTGAGACTGCCATCTTAATGCCTGTATCCCACTGATCCTTCATTCTCCTATGTTACTTATACTAACATCATAATTATCCAAGCCAGTCCTTGCAATTCTCAGCTCCTACTAGCTTCTCCCTAAGATGCCCAGAACCAGTTACAAGAGTATCTACATTTTCTGAAGCCAGACATAAGGAAAAGACTACCCTAATATCAATATCAATGTTAATTGAGCTTATACTATTGCCGGACCTGCTGCTAGACCCTTTGCATGCACTGTCTTACTCCTTTATTCACGGTGAATGCTAGTGAGCTGGCCGTTGTTAGCCTCTCTGAGGTGATAAAATGGAGGCTCAGAGGTCGAATAGCCTGCTCAGTGTCATTCATCTGTTGAGCAGCAGAGACTGGACCCAAATTCAAGTCAATCTGACTTGAATTCTCCTGTATTTACCACGAAGTTGTACTTCTTTAAAACAGAATATAAAAATTCCCAGTCCAGAGGGAGACTATTGAATACCTTTAGCTCTTTTCTTACTGGCTTCACCATAGGACTCTGGCTTTTATTCCACTGTGGCTCCTGCACAGAAACGGTCCCGAACAGATCAAAGGTTTTAGAGAGAAGCACGCAGGTGGCCGCGGTGCTGGCGAGGTCTGTGGGCTCTGGGAACACCAGGCCCCCCTGATCCCTGACAGAGTCCCTGTGGTTCCCCAGGTGGAGCAGCTCCTGTATGAGAGCCCCGAGCGATGCTCTCGCTCTGTGCTTCTCATCACCCAGCGTCTCAGCTCCGTGGAGCAGGCCGACCACATCCTCTTTCTGGAAGGAGGCACCATCTGGGAGGCGGGAACCCACCAGCAGCTCATGGAGAAGAGGGGACGCTACTGGGCCATGGTGCAGGCTCCCGGCGGGTCGGGTGATCCGGAATGAAAGACTTCTCATGGCCTCCCCCTTTCCTGCTGGCCGTGGGGGAGAATTTGGGAGCAGAGATCTTACAGAGCTGCAGAGTAGACAGGAGTGACTCCCTAAAATATAACCCCTAGTGATACTTGAAATTCTGCCATGCGTGATAGCCTCTCTCCAAGCTCCTCTTGAGAACTGCAGATTTCCTGGAAGAAAACCTGGTTTATAACTGTGCTGTAACTGGGTTTACAGCCGGGGTCGGTGTGGCTCACACTGAAAATGAGGAGAAATATTTAGAATCTACATAAAAGAAAGATCAGCTACTTTCCAACACGAGCAAAGGCATATATACGTGACCCATAAATACCCTGTGGATTGCTTGATATTTATAATAAAATTGGTGTTTTGTACTGCGTTTTCTCGAATCAAATGGCTCTCCGACTGTTGCAGCGCGCTTTTCAGGAGCCGGGTGACTTCTCTCCTACAGCATCCCCGTGTTTCACAGCCACAGCGAGCATTCTCTCTCCTAAGTGTTCTCCCTCTGGTTGCCCCGCGACCTCCCCACCCGCTCCATACCCGCCCCCAAGGATGGACCAGAGTGGGAAGCGCACTCCGAGGCACTAGCCGCCGCTCTGGGAGCCAGGGCCTCTCTGAGGTGGAAGACGGAGGGCGAGCGGCTGCAGGAAGCGCCAAGGCTTCACACTTCACCACCTCGCCGCCCAGCCCCGGTCCTGTAGGGCTCCACCGGCGCCCAAATGGCACTTGCCTGGGAAATCTCAGCGTAGTGGCCGGGGTTGGCTGGTGAATCTCTGCCAATCAGAGAGGGAGATGCACGTGACGTCAACAGTGGCTGGGCAGATTAGGCCAACACAGGTTGCAAAGAGAGGCGGGGTTTAGGGGAGTTTAACTCAGCATTGCCCCGTCAAGCAGCAATCACGCGAGGAGGTGCGGGCTGAAGGGCAGCGCTGTGGGTGCCTGCAGGCTGGGGGACCGTTGAACCGGGAGAGGCCCCAAGAAGGACCACGTGGGCAGGTTCAGAGGCTGCGCCCTCTCCTGGGTGCCCCTCCCCCACGCGCTGCGAGTATATTCTGTTGCCCCCAGACCCGTCCTCAAGACTCAGAGCCCCCCGATACTCCTGTACCTCCCCACTTTTATAAAACGATGCGCATGTGAACATCCCTCCCCGCCGACGTGACCCCGCTCCGGCCTCTTGCGGACTCCGGGTTTCTCCTGGAGGCTGCGCCTTACAGGAGGCGACTCCCACCCGCTCCGGAAATGTCCCGGGAGGGTGCCCGCGGTGTCTCCCCCTCATCCCATCGCCAAGGGGCTTTTGAAGTCGCTCCATCTCGTCCTTCCTTTCTTCCGGCCGCCTACCCCCCTGCTCCCACCGTCTCTGCAGGGGAGCGGAGGAGCCTGGCCCCCCCGCACACACCTGGCCCCCGCACCCTCCTTCGCGGAAAGGGCAGGGGGATGTGGAAGACAAGCTGGTTCCCTCCCCTTCGGGCTTCGGGCTTTCGCTTTCACTTCCTCGTGCGCGAGCGGCAGATCTCCGGGTGCTGGCCGTCATGGCGCTGCTGGAGGTGTGCGGAGCCCCCCGAGCGCGGCCCGACGACTGGGCTTTCCCCCTCTCGGGAGGCCGGTCCGGCTCGGACCCGGGACACTACAGTTTCTCCACGCGATCTCCGGAGCTCGCCCTCCCGCGGGGAATGCAGGTTCGGGCGGGGGGAGAGCCCGGGAGGCGGAGCAGGGCGCGGAGGAAGCGGGGGTCCTCCCGGAGCCGGCGCAAGGCGGGGAAACGCGGAGGGGGCCACCCTGGAGCCGCGGGGAGCCGGGTTTGGCCTGAGCCATGGGAGAGGCCACGTGGCACCGCGGCGACTGCCTGAGGGTTAGGAGTGCGGATGGGAGGGGGAGCTGGAGGTGGGGAGGGGCCCCTCGGAAGGCCAGGGCCGCTCCTGCCGGCTCCCATCACACAGCGCACGAAGCCTGTCTCACGCCGCCCGACGGCACCGGCCTGCGGGGGTCTCTGCGCACCGGGCGGTTAGCCGCCCACTGGGTGTGTCTTGGACCAAAGTCACGTAGACTAGATTTGGGGCCTCCCTGTAAAATGGGACACCAGCAATAAACGTGTTTTGTGAGGGTTAAGTGACCCAATAATGAAAAATCATTAAGGTCATCATTAAGAGCTTTAGCTGTGGCCACGTTTATTTTCTTGCTTTTCTGTTGTGCAGAAAGATGGAAAAGGCTGGTGCGGGCGCCTCCTCCCCCCCTTCCCCCGCCATTTCCTTGTAGAGAGGGCTGTTGGCTGTTGACGATTCAGTTTACTGTGGTTGGGGAATCTCTGTAGCTCCTCGCTAGGATGCCCTCCAGCCCTCCCCGGAGGGAGCCTCCTGCAGGAGTTTTCACTGCCCCTTTCCTGCCCTTTCTCCACGGCCAGCCCACCGAGTTCCTCCAGGCCCTGCGCGGGGACGGAGAGAGCAGCGTTCAGATCGAGATGGCCCACGGCACCACCACCCTGGCCTTCAAGTTCCAGCACGGAGTGATCGTGGCCGTGGATTCTCGGGCCTCGGCTGGGAGTTACATCGGTGAGTGGCCCGTCCCGGAGGCCAGCTCCCGGGGCCTGCGCCCTCTTCCCAGCAGGGCCCGGCCTCTGCACCCAGTGGAGGCTGGTATTGACTTAGGACACACAGGGAGAGCTGTGGGCTCATCCCTCTTCTCTCAAACCCCGTCTTCTTCCAGCCACCTTACGGGTGAACAAGGTGATTGAGATCAACCCGTACCTGCTTGGCACCATGTCCGGCTGTGCGGCGGACTGTCAGTACTGGGAGCGGCTGCTGGCCAAGGAGTGCAGGTAGGCGGCCTCTCGTCGGCCTCCATTCTGGACCCTGGGCCTGCAGATCACTGCTCCTCACCCTTCCCCCTGCTGGCATGACATCCTAGTGCCGATGCATTTCACAAATCTCACTTTGTGTTCCTGTCAATCACCCAGATAATTTGTCAATTTTTTTAGCACTGACACCATCAATCCTGGTGGGATAGTATCATCACTAGTATTTGTAAAATGTGGCTTAGATACTTTAAATTTCACATCTCTCCCTGATCCGTAGGTCCCACAAAACCTTTCCCTTCAAATGCGTACCTCTTCAATCACTGCCTGCCCAGCAGGTGGGCTGCTGGAGAGCTGGCCTCCTGCCCTCTAAGCTCTCTCCCCCCACGCCCTGTCCTCACCAGACTGTACTACCTGCGGAATGGGGAGCGCATCTCAGTGTCAGCAGCCTCCAAACTGCTCTCCAACATGATGTGCCAGTACCGGGGCATGGGCCTCTCCATGGGCAGCATGATCTGCGGCTGGGACAAGAAGGTGGGTGCGCTCATCCTCCCTGTCCCCCCACTGGTGACGAGAGATCGGTCCTCTGTTGTACCTCCCACTGCCTCCCCTACAAGATACGTGGCACCTAGAGTCCTCGGTTACAGGCCTGTCGCTGCGTATCCACGACCATCTCTGGGTCCAGGTGGGACCATTGTTTCATAAGCTTTTTGATAGAAGAGCTGATGTCAAGTTTGTCCCCGCCCCCCCAAAGTTCTATGATTGTTACTTAAATATTGTCCTGGCTCAAACACACCTGTGGTAAATTCTTATTCTTTTGTTCACTTTTTATGGGTCACATTTGAAACTGCGTGTGACCAACAACTCCCTCTCCGTTTCCAACCCGGACCTTTCTCGCATCCATTAGGGTCCTGGGCTCTACTATGTGGATGAGAATGGGACTCGGCTCTCAGGAAGCATGTTCTCCACTGGCAGTGGGAACTCCTATGCCTACGGGGTCATGGACAGTGGCTACCGGCCTGATCTCAGCCTGGAAGAGGCCTATGACCTGGGCCGCAGGGCTATTGTTCACGCCACCCACCGAGACAGCTATTCTGGAGGCGTTGTCAACAGTAAGCGACCAGTGCTCCCAGCCCTGGGCCGGGAAGGGGGATGGACATTGGGTGAGGGGTGAGGGAGAGGTGGATTTCAGAGCCAGGGCACTGAACCAGGGGTTTTCAGAAGAGGGGCACTGGAGTCCAGCGGCAAGGGCGGTGGCGTGTGCTGTTGTCACGGCCTTCAACATAACATCCTTAACGGGACTTGCCGGAGCGGAGGGGGATCCATGTTCTTTCTCGTTCGCCCACAGTGTACCACATGAAGGAGGACGGCTGGGTGAAAGTGGAAAGTACAGACGTCAGCGACCTGATGCACCAGTACCGGGAGGCCAAGCAGTGACCCAGGCGGCTGGCAGGCCTCCTCTGGGAAAGCCTGGGGCCTGAGGCAGCTTACCCTTCAGGAGAAGGAAGGCCTAACCCGAGCCCAGGGAGGGGGAGCCGGCGCGGGGTGGGGCAGACTGTCCTTTGTGTGTTCTCTGTTTCAAGGACCACCCCCCCTCCCCCCCCAGCCATCTGGGTGCCTCACTAAGTACAATAAAGGAAACGGTTGTAAGGCCTCTGTGTTGTGGCTGAGTGGGCTTGGGGCCGTGAGGGTGGGGGCGAGGACAGGAGAGAAAAAAAAGCTTTTCCTTAGAAGACAGACTCAAACCCCCACTAAGGAAATGGGGCCTCACCAAATATTTCCCCTGGGTTTGCTGCCACATGCACCCCTCCAGGACCCAGGACCTGATCATCGTTATCTGTGGACACGCATTTGTAGTTTAATTCAGGGTAGGGCTCTAGAACAACCGTTTCTGAACTGACAGCGTTGGATGACAAAGCTCCCACCTCGAAGGTGTGTGGTGATTGGGAACGCGGCACCACCGACCCGAAGCAGCACTTGGGAGATGTTGGGCTTGACTGTAGAGATGGAGGTTAGGGGCTCAGTGTCATGACGTGTCACGCTCCATCGCAGGATGACAGGACCAGGATTGAAGGGGAGGAGATAAGGACGACGCCCTCAAGTGGGGGCTATGAGGAAAAGTCAGGAGGTTAGACAAACGAGACAGACATACTGCCATTTCCCGGGTCACGCTGGAGCCGCAGGGAGGAACGCGGCCGGCCACCTCCCAAAGGAGAGTTGTAAAAGGAACAGCTTGAAAGTAGAGCGAAGTTGAGCACGAAGCTTTTTCATTAGGGAAAGATCCTTAAAATCCCGAGTGGACAGGGTGGGGAAATTGTAGCAACCCCCACTTTACGTTTCTCCCCTCCCCCAGTGTTTCCAATTTGAAGTGACTCACTGGTAGCCAGACCAACAAGGTTTCAAAAGGGTCATTAGGAGTCCCAGCCGTCACCTCTAGGACAGCTTGTGTTTGGGAGGTAGTTTCCACCCGAGGAGTCATTTCTGGAATCAGCCGATGCCCATGCCCCATACATAGGCTCTGAGTCAGGCGGGACCTGCAGGGCCCCGGCCACTGGGTTCTCAGTGTCAAACGAAACCAAGAAACCAAGTCCATTTTTCATGTGCGGGAGCTGAGTGGCTGTTGCCTTCTGTTTGGGAGCCCCTGGACTTGGCTGTTTTTACCCCAAGACCCTAAAACTGGAGCTTGGGTGAGGGAAGTGGGCACTTCTCAAAACCCGTTCAGAGCTTGAGGTAGCAAGACCTGGAGGCAAGACAATCCGGTGGTTCTCCAAGTACAAAGCATCCCAGCCCTTGAAACAGTTTTTTTGTTTTTACTTAGTGACAATTTTTTTAAATTGCAACGGTTTTCTGTTAGAGTAACAGTCATTAAGGGCGAGAGACTCCCGGGCCAGCAGGTGCGGCCAGGAGGGGGCCCTGGCTCGGCGTCTGCGGTGTCGCGCGCCCCCCGGTGGCCGCGCGGCGCAGGGCCAGGGCCGGGCCAGGAAGCAGAAAGCGAAAGCGGCGGCGGGGACATCCTGGGGCTGGGG